CGGTATTAACAAATTTTTTATTATTTTAAATATTTATATAATAAAACATATTACATTATTTTTCTTCTTATGTTATTATAGAAATATGTTTCTTGAAGCTCTTCCACAAATTGGTACTAAAGAAGCCGCATTATTTATATTAGAATTAATCCAGGATAAAAAAGTTTCGGATATATCTGCAATTCAACTTCTTACTCAATTACCATTTCATATACGAAAACCTGATGTTCAATTATTAGTAAACTTACAAATATTTTTAAATTTACCAGAAAAAATTTCTGTTGAAGTTCAAAATACTGCCATTCTTACATATGGCACATTAATTTACAAGACTTGTTTATTATATTGTCCATATGAAATGCTAGATGATTATGTACGTTTATATCTCGATAAATTTACAGGTATGCAAATAATAAATATTAAAGAAATTTCGTATTTTCGTCAAGTTTTAAATTTTTGTTATTATTATGTGTTCTTATAATAATAAATAATTCATAGAGACAAAGGAATATGAAAAGAAAATGATTTGGTTAGAAGGATTAGCAAATATACAATTAGGAAGAGTAGTTGAATTTTTAGAACCTATTGCAAGTGGTAACAATGCAGAATCGCGTCATTTTCGTGTTCTTGCTGCATGGGCATCACTTTCAACTGCACCTTTAAGACCTGATGTTGTAAGTAATTTTTTTATTCTAATAGAAGAAGTTATTAAATATCATTTTTTTAAATTTTATATTCTAGATATATCCTGTCTATTGGCCAATTTTAATAAATAGAACTGAGCACTTAGAAATGAGAGTAGCAGCATTGACATTACTTATTGTTTCTAGTCCTACACCAAGCAGATTGATATCATTATATTGGTACATGCAAAGTGAACCTAGTCAACATTTATATAATTATTTTTATACTATTTTAAAATCTATGGAACATACCACTCATCCCTGTTATGTTCATATGTATGTAAAAAATATTATATTTATTATATTATATATTTATAATAGTTTTTTTTATAATAAAATTTTCAAATATTTTTTTCTTATGTAATTTTATAATATCAGAGGCATGATAGCTGCACAGTTTACACGAGTACTTCATCCAACTAAAAATCAATATTTAATTACTGGTAATTATTTATTTGACTATCAAGATACATATAGAAAATTTGGTGCAATGATACATGGTATTGTGATTGCTAATCCATTAACAAATATACCTGAGGTTTTATATGTAACTGTAAATACTTATGGAAGTGGAATCAATATTAATCATGTATCTGTAAGTATATATTTATTTTAAAATGATTTAATTTATTTTAAAACTAATTTTTTAATATATTAAATATTATGTTCATGTAGTTATATATTAAAGCTGAAGGTCTTTTACATTCATTATCAACACATCTAGATGGTCCAACACAAATAAAGGATATATTAAAAAAATTTAAATTAGATCAAAAACAAAGTGGATCTGTACATTTAGAAATCATTGCACGTATTCAAGAAAAAACAGTTTTATGTCTTCATCTTAATGAAACTAATATTATTAAAGGATTTAAATGTGAGTTTATAAATTATTTTTGTTCAAAATTTAAATATATTTGAATATTTATTGTTTTATATTTTTATATATAATTCTTTTAGATCTCTCTTCTTTGCCTGATAATATATATAATATATATCAAAACATGGAGTTTCATGTTAATCAACAACGAATTAATGTTCCATTAACAATAGAATCAGTACAGGTTACAGATCTAGGAGCAAATGTTAGACTTGCAATCATTGCAACATCATTATTCTCCATGAGAGGCAATTTTACACATATTTCAATTGGTCGTAATAATCATGTTATATTACGGTATGATAAAATAATTTATAATTATATCTTTATAATTATATCTTTTTTTTTACAATGTTTTATGTTTATATAATTGATATTTTTAGAACATCTATTCATAAGTCAGAAATAATAGAAAATTATAATCCTTTTATTGATACATGGCATAGTGCAGAAAGAGCACATTCTATTCATGGATATCTTCCAATCAACATTACTCTAGGATTTGAAAATCGTCCATTTATTTCATATAATACACCTGGAGGTATTGCATTAATAATATTTAAATAGGATTTATTATTATTTAAAAATAGTATATTTAGTATATATTTTATTTTTTTAGAACATCTTAAAATGGGTATTACAGCTCATGCTAGAACAACAACTAATATAAAAGGATTGAACATTGAAACGAAATTACATCATATTTGTCCTACTTGTCCTCAATTATTTAAAGTTACAAAATCACCAACATATAAACCAAAGGTAGATAATAATTAAATAAAAATTTTATTTTTAATTTATAGACAATAACTATATTTATTTTATAGACAACAGATATATTTCAAATTGAATTAGCAGAATTAGGGGGACAAATGTATATAAAACTTTTTGATTGTGAAAATGTAATATCGCGAGAAAAAATAATTCGAGATGTGTTTTCTTCACATCGAGCCAATTATCCGTGAGTTAAATATTAAAAAATCTATCTATATATTTTTTATTATAAAAATTATTAAATAATAAATATTATTTGTTGTACTTTAATTTTCGATTGTTATAGTATCTGGCCATTTCTGGAGTTTGCTTTAACTGCCCTTCATTTCTTAGATTATTGCACATATGTACCACCAAAAGGCAGTTGTGGTATAGCTGCTTATATTAATACAATTGATGTACAACGTACTCAAGTTAGTATATTAATATATAGTATATTAATGCTACTATACTATATTCTTAATTATAAACAAAATAATAAAGAAAAAATATAATTTATTAGGTAAAATTTGAATATATTAAAAATCCAAGTCATCATGTATTATCTTTAACACATCGTAATGCAGAATCATTGCAAATTCTACAACAATGGAATATAGCTGCACTTTATGAGATTACTAGTTGGACATCTGATATGATTAAAATTAAAGCAACTAAAATTATACCAGGCCAAAAAATTTTGAAGGTACTTTATATATAATAGTGTAATTGAAAGAAAAAAGATAAAAATAATATTATAATCTTTATTATTTAGTTTTGTTTAGAAGTTGAAAAAGAAATACCTTGGGAATGGGATTTCTTAAGTATTAAGCCAAGTGAGCCTGCTAAAATTGCATTAAATGCTGTTTGGGGATATTCTGATACAGCTAAAGGTAAATGTAGTGGATCTTCAATTACATTAAATTTACTTGGTGAAATTAGTGAAAATCAATTAGAAAATGCTAAAATATCACAATGGCCTTATGAAGAATGTCGAATACAATCTGAAGGAAAACGTTTTATTCCATTTTCTGATGCTTGTTATGAAGTTTCAAGAGAATTATCAACCTTAAGAAAATATCAAATTATTGCACAATATGAAAATGTAAGTTTAATATTTTATTACTATTTATAATGTATTATAATTTATATAGATAAAAGAAGAAGAATTAAAATAAAAATAAAATAAGATTATATAAATTTATATAACAAATATATACATATATAATTTTAAAATTTTAATTAGATACCAGAAAATATAATGAGATTAGCTTGGAAGTTTCGAGCTTTTTATGATTTAATAGGAGGAAATAGTACTTCAGATTCCATTTCTAAGAAATTTAATGTGACAGCAATATTTCCAAAAAAATCAGATACTGGTGAATTATCACTTAACAATGATAAAATAATAATTGAATACAATTATAATCTTATAGATTACTTTTTAACTCGAACTAGAATTCATAAATATATAGATTTATCTATTTCAAAAACCTTTTTTGGTAAGTAATTTTTTCTTTCTCTTTTTGTTTTTTTTTTTTTTTTTTTTTTTGTTTCATAATTAGTTCATTGTTTGTATCTGCAGAATTCATTCTATTTGATTACAGTACCTTACCTGTCTTAATCACTTCCAAATTTAGGCACATGTATTGTGACACCTGACTATATAAGATCAATTCACAACGTCACTTATTCTTTTCATGACAAGCCTGAAGTTCTACTGCTTGGTCATTGTTATAGTGAAAATCCAAAGTATGCATTAACAGCAAGAAATGATTTATATGGTATTAACATTAATATATATGATGAAATAGATACAGTACGAATCATACCTAATCAAACTGGAGGAACATTGTATAATAATACAATGTATATTCCATTGCCACAAAACTTCATATTTCACTCATTAGGTTCAAAAAGGTAATTAAAAAAATTAATATTTTTAAATAAAAAAATATTTATTGTATAAATCATATATGTTTCAGAGTAAGATTGGACGATAATACTATTGATATTATAATTCCTAATCTCTATTTATATATGCATTGGACTCAAGAACAAATTCTTTTGTTTTTTCCAACATATTTATTAGAATTTAGTTGTGGTTTATGTGTATTAGACTTTCTTGATATTAATAATTTATATGAAAAATTATAATTTATATAAAAAAACTATATTATAATATTTTATTTATAAAAAATATTAATATAAGAAGGATTTAATATAAGAAACTTATGTTGATATGTATATATATATATATATATGTATATCAATACTCAATATTTTAAGTATGTTTATTAGAAATTTTTGTTTCTGGCAAATATAACTATAAAAAAATTAAAATTATGAAATTGTACAAATATTATATTGCTATTTACAAATATATATTTTATTAATATTTTCATTGTAATTTATTTTTCAGAATGTAACAAATTTAATAATAGAGATATTGTGTCAAGAATTTAAAAATTAAAATGAATAGTTCAGATTACATCTATATATATCAAAAATATTTTTTTATTTTTATTATTTAATAAAATATATCTTAACAACAAGATTATTTTATAGAAAACTTGTTTAATAAATAAATAATACAAAACATAAATATAATAAAAGGAAAATTAATATAATTTTAATATTTATAATACATATTATAATAAAATTCAAATTACTCAATATTTTTTATTATATCTCAATATATTATTATTTTATTTTTATTACTTAATATAGAACTTATTTTATTCACGCAATTGTAAGACATACATCTAAATGTTGATTCATTTGAGATTCTATTATTAATTGCATACAAACAGGACAAGGATATTTAGATTGTTCAATTGATATTTCTGAAATTACATTTGATGCTTCGTTATTATCATAATCAACTAAAAATGAATCATCATTAAATACATTTCCAATACAATCTTCTAAATGATCACTTAAAGATACTCCAATAGGAATAAATTCATTACAAACTAAACAATTATGTGACATAATATCAGCTACATTTTCTTTAAATTTTGTATTATGATCAACATTTTCAATAATTGATAAATCATCACTAGATGTACTACTAATAGAAATTATACTTTCATTTACATTTCTATTACTTTCAATATCATCTAATATAATTAAATTATTATTTTGTTTATCTGTTTTTAAACACTTATCAATATGTTCATTTATATTTATAAAATCAAAACTCTTGGTACAAATAGGACAATTTGTTTTTTTAAAATTTTGTATTTCATCTAATTTTGATTGTTTATTTGAAAATATAATTGAATTATCTTTTCTTTTTTGTGCAAATGAAGAATTATTTGATTTTATTTCAGATTTTATAAAATTATCATTATCATAATTCTTTATTGTAATTTTTTTATCATTTTTATTTCTTTTTGTATTTTTTGTTATTAGACAAAAATCTATATGTTCATTTATTTTATCATTTAATATAAAATGATTGCATATTGGACATTTTACAAGTTTTCGTATTTCATTTAATGATTGAGTATTTGCAATAGATTTTTCAATTCTTATGGTATTAATTGGTGAATTTATTGTCTGTTTTAATGCAGTATTTTTATTCATATCTTTATTATGATCAATATTATATAATTTATTCAATAAATTACTTCGTCCTGTATTAGAACCACCAACCACTCCAAAAGATGAAAATTTAGGTGTATTAGAAATTTTATTAGTACTAGGACTATGTTTTTGTGAATTACTTGAACTCTTTGGACCTCCTATACCCCAACCATGAACATTATTTGTAGTATTTCCAAGTTTTTGAAATTCATTTGTATAATTTTGATTATTTATATGATTATTTGATTTAATATTCTTAGGAATAGATGTAGATAATGGTTTTGTAGATGGAGAACTTTTTGAAAGCCAATTAAACATATTATTTGATAAGTTATCATTTTTAGACTTTATCTTTTGTTTATTGCTTGAAGATTTTGCTTTAAAATTTTCTGGTTCTTTAATTTTAATAAATTGACCGCCACAAATTTGTTGATGTTCTTTCCACCAAAAATCAGTTGGACCTGGTGCACGATTCATAGCCCTTCGTACTGTTCCAAAATATGGAGCTCTCTTCTGACAAGGACCATTACATCTCCACCAATGTTGTTGATATAATTTAACTTCATCATGAAAATTGTGGTATATCTATATATAAAAAACAAAAATTTTAAAAAATGAAAATTATTAAAATTATCATAAATTATTATATTCATTTTATTATAGATAATTACAGTTATTTTTGTTCCAGCTACTCTATTTATTCTGTGCATATGTTTGCAAAATTCTGGACCATGTCCATCTCTGTCACGATTATTATTTGTCAGAAACAAATAGCCATGAATCATTTCATGCTATAATATATATTTCAAACAGATAAAAAATAATAGTTAATTGTTAATAATTAATAATAGTTAATACTTAAATATGTAATTATTATTACAGAAATCTTACCAATAAAGTTTCAACTAGATCTTTTCTGGGTCTAAGTTTTAATAATGGTGCACTAAGTGAAATTATACATTGTCGATTTCGAGGATGAAAAGTGCATATACCTGCACAGCTATAATATATAAATATACATAAATATAAAATATATATATATTTATATAATAAATCATTAATAAATTTTAAAAAATAATCTAAAATTTTTTAAATAAAATGAATTACCTTGTCATTCTAGGACTCCATTTAACTTCTACAGAAAGTAAAACATTCCAGAAAAAACGTTCATTAAATTGCATAAACAATGTATGAATATTAGGTGTTGGATCAATTAACTCTAAAGTTTGATCAATTAAAGTTCTTGGTTTATAATTTTCTTCATCTTTCTAAATTTTTTAAAATAATAATATAAATATAAATATATATATATATATAATTACATATTATTATATAATAATAATAAAAAAAACTATAACATCAAAAAAAAACTTACATTTTTTGGTAAAACTGCATTTTCTGTTAATCCAAAACAATAATCTTGTTGTTGTAATTCATAAGCTAATTCAAAATCACGAGATTTTTGTGACTTTTTCATCATAATTTATAAATATTGATAAAAACAATATAAAAATTCATAGATACAAATAAAAAATAAAGATGCAAATAAAAATATATTTAATGAATTTGTCAAATTTATATCATTAAATTTTCCGTTTAATCATAATATCAATAACACATTTTTTTTTTCAAATAAAAATTTTCTGTTTATTTCCTTCTGTTATTTTTTCTTCCTCACCTTTAAATATAAAATAAAATATAAAATATAAATAAATATTCAATTATTAATTATAATTAATTTAAAATTATTTGTTTAAAATTATTATATTTATTTATTTATTTTTTGATTATTATATATTTATTTTTTTTAGAATTAAAATGTACATTTTTCAAAACTTTCCAAAATAAATATCAATATAAATATTTAAAATATATTTACATAATACTTAATGTTATTAAAAATTGAAAATAAGTAAATATGCAATTAAACAATTATTACTATTTTAATTTATTACTATTTTAATTATTTAAATATTTAAACAAATATTATAGTATAAATATATATGTAGAATTATATAGTTTTTTTTATTAAATACGTGTGTGTAGTTTTATTATATATTTTTATTTATCATTGCATATATATAATAGGATAATATAAATTTGAAATTTAATTCGAAACATTGAACGTGAATTTGTATTTAGTAATTTTTGGTAGTTCTTATTTTTTTATTCTTTTATTTTTATCTATATTTTTTACTTTCGTTTTTTTTTAATGTATAACAGTATATATATATATATATTGTAGATTGTCTGTTATTGAAATGAGATACGATTTTTTACAAATCTTATTATTACAAATAAGACAATATCAAAAGAATATATATTATAGAACAAATATAATGCACGACATATAAGTATACATATAAGAATATTCAGAAACGTCCCATTCTTTTAAATGTTCTAATTCGTGGTTCATAACACTTCGTCATGCCACACGTCAGCACAGTACGCCCTCTGCTTGTAATCTCATATTTGTATATATGATGTGGATGGAAGATTGGCTTATGTAAAAATTATATTAGGTTAATCGTACAATATATATCGTGTCAAAATAATTCAGCAAAATGGTAAGTATTTATTTATTAATGATTTGAATCATTGACAATATATCTAAATTGTAAAAAATATTTATTATAAGATCGTATAGTTAAAGTTATCACAGATGTCAATCACCTCTCGTGATTGATATTAAAACATAAAAAGTTATAATGTCTTGTATTACTAAATTATTTGTTACTCTTTAAGGTACTTATTGCTGCAGCAGTTTGCACAAAAGCAGGCAAAAGTAAGTAAAACTTATTTTTTCTAATCGTACCTGTTTATGTATGTATATATATTCTGTGTTAGCTTGATATTATACATGATTATTTTTTTAATTGTTAGATGATTATAATTTTCTTCTCTTAATATACATATATATATATATATATATATATATTCTATTAATTATATTTTACATATTTCTAACTTTTCACATTTTTTAGTTGTAAATTCTGTTTCTAAATTAAACTAGATATTTTATATTATATATTGCAAATAATATTTTTTATGATAATTTTACTTAAAATACTTTATAATTATCTGAAATATATATATTTTTTCATATGATTTATGTATATATTTTTAACATATTAATTTGTTTATATTTTATTTATTGTTAATTATAATTAATAAATAAAATTTAATAATTTATAAATTTTAGCTATTATTTCTCGTCAATTTGTTGAAATGACAAAAGCTAGAATAGAAGGTTTACTTGCTGCATTTCCAAAGTTAATGAGTTCTGGCAAACAACATACATTTGTAGAGACAGAATCTGTGAGATATGTCTATCAACCTTTGGAAAAAGTATATATGTTATTAATTACAACAAAAGCCAGTAATATATTAGAAGATTTAGAAACATTAAGGCTTTTTGCAAGAGTTGTAAGTATATAATAAAAATTCTTTTTTTGCTTTTTCATTTTTTATTCATTTATCATTGAATTAAAAATTGATATTTGCTATTGATATTTATAAATATGAATAAATGATTTGATTAATATATAAGTTTACATAAATTTATAGATTCCAGAATATTGTAATTCAATGGATGAACTTGAAATAGCTGAAAATGCATTCAATTTGATATTTGCATTTGATGAAATAGTTGCATTAGGATACAGAGAAAGTGTTAATTTAGCACAAATTAGAACATTTGTAGAAATGGATTCACATGAAGAAAAAGTTTATCAAGCTGTAAGAATGACTCAAGAAAGAGAAGCTAGAAATAAAATGCGTGAAAAAGCAAAAGAATTGCAAAGACAAAGAATGGAAGCAGTTAAAAAAAGTGGTATTAAAAATCCTGGATTTGGTAATTCTTATGGAAGCAGTGGTAATTTTACACCAACACTTAATGCAAGAGATACTATTAATTTTGTACCAGAACCAGTTAGACCTTCATATACACCAACACAGTAAGAAATAATATAATATGAAAATAATTTTAATAAAAATTATATTATAAAAATATTTTTATTATGTATATATATAGAAAACCTGTCAATGCTGGACCAGGTGCAATGAAATTGGGAGGAAAATCTCGTGATGTTGATTCATTTGTAGATCAGTTAAAAGAAGAAGGAGAAAATGTTGTAACAACTCCCTTACCTACAACAGGTGCAAAACCAACATCACTTACACCACAGATAATCAATACTGAACCGTAAGATATTTATTTATTTATTATTAATATTTATTATTTATTATTATTTATTTATTATTTATTAACCGTAAGGTATTTATTTATTTATTTTATATGTAAATATATTATTAATAAATTTTATAATTATTTGCTTTATATTAAGAGTTCACTTACGACAAGAAGAACGTCTTAACGTCAGAATTGGTCGAGATGGTGGTTTACAACATTTTGAATTGCATGGTTTAGTGACATTACATATTTCGGATGAAAAATGGGGTCGAATTCGTGTACAATTAGAAAACAGAGATACAAGAGGGGTTCAAGTACAAACGCATCCTAATGTGGATAAAGAATTATTCAGAACACGTGGTCAAATAGGCTTAAAAATTCCTACAAAACCATTTCCATTGAATACTGATGTTGGAGTATTAAAATGGCGATTGCAAGCTCAAGATGAGACAGCATTACCTATTTCAAGTACAAATCATTTACTGAATACAAATTAATTACAATTAAGTTAAATTTTTTAAAATATATTTTAATATATATATAATATATAATAAATAGATAATTTTTTTTATTATTTAAAATAGTTAATTGTTGGCCATCTGAAAATGGAGAAGGTGGATGTGATGTGAATATAGAATATGAATTAGAACAGATTAATCTAGAATTAAATGATGTTCAAATAAATATTCCATTACCTATGGGATGCAATCCTATAGTAAGCGAATGCGATGGACAATATACACATGAAGCACGACGAAATACACTTATATGGTCTTTACCAGTAGTTGATGCAACAACGAAATCAGGTTCAATGGAATTCTCAGCACCTTCTTCTACTCCTGCAGATTTTTTTCCTCTTCTTGTTTCATTTTCATCTAAGACATCATATGTCAATATTAAAGTAAATTATCTTTTATTCATATTATTTATATATTATTTATATAATTAAAAAAAATGAAATAAGTTTCAGTATTGATATATGTATATAATTAAACTAATTAAGTTTATAATTTTTATAGGTAACTGAAGTCTTACTTGTAGAAGATGAAAGTCCTGTTAAATATTCAGTAGAGACAGTTTTCTTTACTGATAATTATGAAGTGGTATAAAATATATCTATTACATAATAAGATAATTGCTCGTGCTAAGTATGTACAAAAATACAAAACTAGCACTGTCCATTGGAATTTCAAAGATAAAGATTTTCAGCTTACTTATCATTCAGATTATAATTTTATTCTCATACAACCATTATTTTACCAATGGATACTTGAATGAATTTCAAGCATATACATATATACATATTAATTGAACAATTAGTTTCAATTTAGTACATGTCTAATATTAAACTATTACAGGAAATTGTATACAGATATTTTATAATTGGTAAAAAAATATTACCGAAGATTTTATGAATTACACTTACTATTATCAACATACAAAAATTATATATATTAATTTTATTTTAATTTTTTCAAACTGTTTCTTTACGAATTTTGTAGTTGCAAAACTTTTTAGTAAAACTGAGATACATATATTATTTACAAAATATGGAAATATTTTTTTCATACATACATACATANACACAAACATTACATATAATGGAATAATATGGACATAATCTAAGTTTTTAACAGAATATTAATTCACTCTTATATTTACATTCATTTGTTTTTGTTATTTTCAATAGTATTATTAGGTGCATTTATTGTTTATATTTTTTTCATCCTTAAAAATGCAAAAATATTTTTTATTTTCAAAGGTAGTATTATTATATATACCCTTTGAAAGTTATGTTTATATTTTTTCATTCTTGAAAATGCAAAAATATATTTTATGCTTAAGAACAAAATTATTATATATCTTTTGCAAATATAAATAAAAAATTATATATTTCTGAGAAATAAAAAAGAGGATGAAATTAATATAAGATATTATAAATATTTGTACACATATATACAAAATATCTCATATTAATAGTTTTAAAAGAATTTTATTTGCACTTTTTATAAGTAAGCAAAAATTTATTTATCATTTAATTTACTCATTGAATATGTATAAATATAATTGACAAATTTTCTGTAAAATTTTCTGTTCATAAAAATTAAAAATATAAATTTCATTCACTAATAATGCATTTTTTAAAAATATTTGCTATAAATAATTGTATAGAATTAAGAATAAAAACTTATTGAAATATTCAACTATTAATATCTTTATGTGTAATATTCATAACCTTTTAAAACCTGTTAATATTAAAAAATTATTTTTATATTATTTGCATTATATTATTTTATTGCAATATATCTGGTGGTATATTTATCACTTGTTGTATCAAATAATTTTCAATAACTGCTTTAGCTGAAAAATGATTGAT